AAAGGAAGAGGTGGAAGACAGTAAGACCAGTTAGAAGGCAAACGAAAATGAAGATGTGACCTAAGGAACGTGGAGCCGTGGCCCTCAACCAGGGGCCACAAAGAGTCACATGAGAAGCTTATAAAGAATATGATGTCTAAGTCCTACTCCACCTCTTTAATACTGCTCGACAAAACATTCCTCTTCTGTGGCTCTCTTACTCTGTAGTGCTATCCATCAGAGCCTCAAAGTCTACACATTGTCACTTCATTATTGGACATAACCAAGAACATAACCATGCGCATAGAATTTCCTCTTCACTTCCGTAATAACTTGAAGTGCAAAGCCATAAGGCAGTCTACCTTAGCCAAATAATTTCATCTACTCTCAGATGAATCTAGCCAGTAAATCTGTTTGCAGTGAACCCTCTTAATGCTTCTGCAGAGGACTCACAGGGGTGATTCCGTTCCCTTGTAAAGTGCAGACCAAAGTGCTTGTCAAACAGTGCAGTCTTGATGGATTCTAATTACATAAGATGCACAGCAATTTATGTAGTTACTTCTTGGTGGTTCAACATGTATTGGTGTGTGCAATTTGTATGCGAGACTCAAGAAATGGGGTTAAAGATGTTTTCAACATGTTAACTATTATACTAATTAAATGCAAGGTATTTAAATAAAATAGGTAGGGTAACACACAAATATAAACATATCCAGACCAGCACAGCTTTCTTTCCTGTAGTTTTTATTTTATTTTAAGTTATTTCATTTTATAGTATATGATGGCACAGAGACTTGCAAGGTTTGCAAAGAATAATATGAGCATATACATGAGTTTCTTGTTTTACTCTCATTAAGTAGACATTATTGGGTTTCATAGTGATGTTCTATTTGAAATGAAATGAAGTACCTTCTTCAGTAAGAGTTTATCGGCGATTTTAATCGAATAAAATACTTCAGGGGGGTGTTAAGATCAATTCACAATATGTTATATATACAAAAATGTCTTCAAGCTTTCTCTCCTTATATCCAAATGGGAGGCATTAGATATATTTAATGTTTCCATGAGGTATGTGATTAACAACTATAGCAAAATATGTTGGAGGAAATTATCTTCGAGTGTTTTCCTTTGGTGGTTTAATTAACATACAGTGGACAGAAAGCAAGCAATCTGTTCAACCAGATGATTCAAAGATCCCTCCTGTTGCTTTTGTTTTCCCTGCAGCTGGGACGGGGAAAATTATATTACATATTGAATATATTCCTTCCTCTTGCCTCTGAATGATTTGTTTTGGTGGTGATTTAAAATGTTTTATGAGTTTCAAAGCCCATGAAGTATAGGAATAATTTACAATGTAGATAACCAGGCTGTGTGGTTTTGCCACTTTTTCAGTCTTTATTTCTGGAAAACATCCATTTTTTACTTGTTTTATCTTCTTTAACAATCATACTGAAATGGGATCAAACCCTAAGCCAATTTCATACTTCAGGCTTGGTGAACCATGTACTACTGAACTATGAGTGTATAGGAACGTTTCCTCTATGCATGATCAGGTAGTCTTGCTTATTCATAACATAACCAGAGAAAAAGAATTAGGTCTAACATAGTAACCAAAAGAAAATTCAAGGAAGCCAGGCCCTACACCTCACAAATATTCTCATCAGAAAACCCTCAGGTCCTTCCTTAAATCCTGTTTAAACTTTGCAAGTACAATTAGAGCCAGCAAGTGATCCATTGATAAGTTTACAAAGTTTAAGGCAGCAAATTCTAGGAGAACAAGCCTGTCCACAATGGAAGCAAACCAATCAACATCTGTAATAGGTGTTAATGTGAGAGTAAAGCAAGAGGGGGAAAAAACAAAACAAAACATAAAACACTGCTAAAAATAAACAAAACACAAAAAACAAAAACACCAAAGATCCACAGCTGTCTGGGGACTGACCCTTGTATTGGCTAGAGTAAGCATTTATTCTTATTTCATATTGGAGGCCTACCTGTCTATTAAATTTATCTACCCCAATAATACTTCTAAAGAACGGGTTTGAATGGCCACCTCAAAAACAAGAGCTTGACACATTAATCCAACTTCCCAAACTTTAACTTAGGTGGTATTAAAAGATAAAGTGCAGCATATTAAAAATTTTAAGTTTATTTACCTGAGTGAAAAAACAATTCCAATCGGGCAGTGCCAAACCATAAGTGGTTAGGAGCCTTCCAAGGACAGGTGCTAGGGGAGAGACTTTTATGGAGTCAAGATGGACGAAAGCAAGGGAACTAACTGATTGGCTACAGCTTAAGCATTTGCCTGATTCAGGAAAGCCAGGTTGGCTGTTTGTGATTGGTTGTCCTTAGGTTTTGATTTCTCCACCTACCTAAGCATGTATAGGCTTAGGTTTGGGTTTGCTTATGTAGGCTGCTAAGGTATTAGAAACACCCCAGTCTAAGGGCCTCCTTGTCTAATTAACTTATCAGCAGCTAATATGGACTCTCTCATCCCTAAGTTTTGAAGTGTCTCTTCATTTGTTTTCTATGGTAAGAAAGCAGGGAGAAAATGAGAAAGGGGACTCAAGGAAGTTGAGAAAGAGACTTCTTATACAGCCAGCTCCCCCAATGCAGTGGTTTGGTCTACTCCTTGCCCTGCCAGGATCTTGCCTCTGTGACATTACTGTCCTAACAGGAGTCATGGAAAGTACTATGCTTTTGTCTTGTGCTTTCAATATCTAAAAGGATAATGGTACAATTAATATCAGGGAACTAATATCCAAAAATAATACCCATTTCAAAGAAATCCAGCATTGCTTTGAAGTTCTGTTTTGAAGATTTTAAGAAAGACTCATTCTTTGATGTTTTCAGTATACTTTTCCTGATTTACATACATTATAGACGACTGACAAACCTCTGGTTCAAGCCATTCCCCTTTATGTGATTTTTTAAAAAAACTGTTTTTATATCTAATCCATTAATTGCATTCCATTTGCTACATTTCTTATCTAGGTTGACATTCTAACAAGGACCCTGTATAGATTTTCAATTGTTCTTCATGATCATTTGCATTCAGATAGCTACCACCCTAGTGCAAAGCCAACGCACAACTCTAAGGTTAACCTAAGTGTGTGCTGGGAGATCTCAATCTGGCTGTCGTAAACTTTTATTGCTTACTTTTGTTGTAAGCTGCCTCATATATTTTTGGTAATGAGGCCAGGTATATAAATAAAGCAAATAAAAGTGCTTTCTGTAGCTTTGCCTAGAATCATAGGTCTTAGAGCCTGACACATCCTCAGGAAAAGCTGTCTGCTTTTGCTGGTAACATATTTTCATTCCCATTTAAAATACACGTATAGGGTAACTAAAGCACAAAGAGTTTTGTAAATTATGCTAGAACCAAATCCAACAACCCTAACAGGAAGAATTCCACACCAGGTCTCCTGAATCCTTGTAAAGTATTTCTTCCATTATTTAATTCTGCCTGATCCTGCTATTCTTGCTCCAAAGAAACTCAAAAACTCATTCATCCATTCACTCATTCATTCATTCAACAAACATTTATTGAGCACTGTTCAATGACCAGTGGGAACAAGAGTGTTAAAAAAGAAACATTTTCTATAGTGGAGGATGGGAGGGGACCATGATCAACCCTTTATGTACCTGAGTTTTTATCAGCCTTACAGCGTTCTATGAATTGAACACAGTGCTACATTGTTATGGCTTTTGGATTCTTCTCTGTGGAGTTCTTGGCTGTTTCCTTCTCCATGGTTCTTTTAAGCTCTAATAGTCTATGAGCCCATGGAAAGTTCTAGCTTGCCAACATCATGGTAGCGTTTCTCTCGAGGCTATATCCACTAAGGCCTCAGGCAGTGGGATGCCTTTTAAGTTCACGGTGAAATCGAAGAGTAGTCTCTCTGTTTAGAAGAGTTACTGGCACCTTTCCAAGTTGAAAGGCAGATATTTTAGAGCATTTGCCTATGATGAATAGTGGTAGCCTTTCCTTAGTTATTAGAGTTCTGCGTAGCTGATTCAATGGTATTATCAGCCACATTAAACGCATTTTGGTTTCTTAGAATGCTCTTGTATTGAGGGGAACATCACAGCCATAATTAAATCACAGCTCTCTTAAACCCTTTTTGAGCTCATATTCTGCCAGGTATAAAGCCTGTCCATTCATATCTTTTGGTAATAGTTGCATAGAAGAAGGCTGTTCTTAGTCAGAAGCTGAATTCCCCACACTTGGGGTACACCTTCAGCTGCTGACCTATTGAAATGAAAGAGTAGGAGTGATGATTCAATCTAATTCTCCCTCCTGTAATAGGCTGAGCTGGGTCAGCAAGGCCAGTCCCTGCAGATGGCTTGAAAATACTTTTGTGATTTGATCTCCTTGCCTTCCCATCCATTTCTCTAAGTGCCTCTCACTTTCATTCTTTCCCACCCTGACAAGATTCCAAGGTGAGAACTGCGAGCACTTGTGATGCCTCCTGAGGGTGTTGCTTATTACGTGAGTTAGGCAATGAACCAAGTCTGGCTTGTGAGCTATGAGGCAGGTTAGCACATTTACATGGAGATCATTCCATGTGTTATTTAACCGATTCAAGCAAGTCGTTGCCCCTTTGCTGCTCAGCATAACTCATGTGAAATGCATAGAAGCTCACAAGTTAATAATGTCGGACTTTCATTTTTGTATGCACTGAGGATCACTTGGTTTTCATTCCTGGATTTTGAGTGGAGCTTGTTTTCTCAGAACAACTGGGAAATGTTTATGAAGTGTGTGTGTGGAGGGTGGGGAGGGAAGGGAATAAAAATGCATTGCTTTAGGGCTGCACATCTGTTTTCGGGACTCTGCCGGATCTGTACATTAACCATTGTCATGACCTATGGTGTCTCCTAAAATTGCATCCTACACAGAGATGTGCATACCAGTTCCAAATGTTACAATTCAGTAGATTCACTGTTCTGGGTTAGTTTTCTGTTTTCATGACTAGCAGAATTTTTTGCTCTGCCCAAGTTGAGAGCATGTGCAAGATTCATAGCAAGTAGTCGCTCATTATTTTATTTCTTTTCAAACAGATTGGCAATATCAAGTTGCTCAGACCTTCCCACAAACAGAAGAGGAGGTGAAAGTGGACACACATGCATTCAGCCACCGGTGGAAAAGGAACTCAGATACCCTCAAGGCAGTGGACACAAACCGAGCAAGCACAGGCCAGGACTCCCCAGAGCCCAGGGGCTTCACAGACCTGCTCCTGGATGACGGGCAGGACAACACCACCCAGATCGAGGTAGGTGAATAATTGGGGCAATTGAAATGCATAAATGAATATATTCCTTGTAAGGCATCTGACTTCCACGTATATATAAGCTGTCCCTTCAGCTCAGTCTAGAGCTTTGGGATTCTTTTTTTTGGTGAGGATTAATTTAGTTCATCAATAAATAATTAACCTGTTAATATTCAGTAATCCAATAATAAATAATAATTATTACCATATATTAATTAAATAAATAGCTAAGCCATTTAATCACCCACAAATTCACTTACTCTTGAGCCCGATTAACATGGGCTTGATGCAGTGATGACAGTGAAGGGGCCCAAAGATGAATACAATACAGCGCCTGCCTGCCTGCCTGCGAGGAATTTATTGTGTAGGGTCTAAACACCATAACCAATCATTCCTATGCCACGTGACATGTACAAAATAACATACAGGCGATAGCGTGGCAGGCAAGCAGGAGGGAGTGATGGCCTCCCTGCGCTGTTGTCGAAGACGCTAATTCTAGGAGTAGGCATTTAGGCAGGGGCTTGGCAGACGGGGAGGAGCTCGCTGGGCTGATAACCCATCAGTGGTAAGAGGGGATTTCGGGCAGAGCAAATTACGTCTGCAGTGGTCCAGTCAGAAGGGCATGGCACACTGAGAGTTCTCGTGGGGTCACCAGCTGTCCTGGTTTGCCCAGGATTGAGGTTTCCTGGGGTGTATGGAAGACTTTCAGTGCTAAAAATGGGGCAGTTCTGGGCACACTAGGATGGTTAGTTACTCTGTGACTGTAAGTAATTCTTTGTTATGGTTGGAGCCATTAAGCAGAAGAAGGATGGTTGCCGATGGGTCGGTGAATCTGGAAGCTTGCTGAGGGCACATTTTAGGCAGATTTTAGGGTTACCCAGAGGCCTCTGTGCATTCCAATGGTTAAGTTCCCATAGTCCTTAGCATTGCAGATCTGCAAATCATAAAACATGGTTTGGTCAGGACAGTAGATACCACAAGAACAAACAGGTAGGTCTTATGGAAATAGGCAAAAGCCACCCAAAGGAGGCTGTGCATTCAGTTTGCTATGGCAAGGGAATCAGTCTCCATCACCTGACTTTGGTAGAGACTCAAAACTAGTCAGGGGAGTGGGAAAGTTTTTTCCGTGTAAAAAGAGGTTTCAGGTAAGCTGATTGGTGGTTGTTGGCCTTGAGAAGCGAGAGGCAGGCTAATGAGAAGCAGAGCATCTCATATGATTGGTTGGGGGAGCATGTTTGGCTCCCGCTGGTTGGTCCTGAGTTGATTGCATGGACAAAAAAAATAGGGAAGATGTCAGTTATTAATCAAGCCCCTCCTGGGCCAGTCGCTGCCATGATTGTGTGCCGGCCCCCTAGACTGGTTTGTATAGAAGTTAGGGTCAGGGTTCTATTGTTATCCATGTTGTCCATTGGCATATTCTCTCTCAACCTGACGTTTTAGTTCCTACTTTCTCCCAGGTGACAGGCTTCGTACTTTTTCAGAATCAGGCAGCATTCTTTTCACTGCCCTGAAATGCTCGTTATTTAGGAAAAGACCTCAACTTCATGAAACGGGTAGTACACAATTCTGCAAATAGTGTCAAGACATCATTTGTTTCCTCGTTAGTGAGAAGACTCTTTAGAAGATCGGAAGCACAGGCATTGGGATTCTGCGTATGTGAGAAGCCCAGCAATTTTCCAAACCCCTCTTCATCTCCTTAACTAGCATGTGGCTCCGGTGGTCCCTGGCTGCCTCCACCAGGTCCCTTACCAGACAAAGAGAATGCTCCAGGAGCAAAGTCAGACAGTATCTATGAGAAGCTATTCTGGCTCCCACAGATTGCCTGCTGTTTTGGCAACTGTGTTGTTATAGCAACTCAGAGTGGGCAATGTAATTCTTCCCTGCGAAGCTCTTTAGCTGGGGTGCAACATAAAGAAAGGAGAGCTGAACGGAAGCAGAGGTGTTTATTCTCTGCACAGAACTGAGATTGACAGGAGGGGAGCACAGATCCCTAGAACTCTGTGATCTCTATGCGGGAGGCTGACTTTTCTTAGTCATTTGTAAACTAGAAAATCCCTTTACTCAGGGATGTATTAGCACCCCTCAAAATATAAACCCCAGTTGTTATTATAGCTGTGATTTTGTTATTCAGCCAATTTTTTTTTTCTTTTCTACCCTTACAGAGAGAGACCACATAATGTCAGCAATTTTGAGTCAGTAAAAAGGAGGAAGGATGGTGCAGGAAGCTATTTGCTGGGTACCCATTTGGTGCTAAGAGGTGCCAGGTGGTGCACGGATACCATATTCCTTAGTCCTTCCGTCAACCCAGTGAGATTTGCATCCCCAGGCTTGCTGGGTAATCTCAGTGACTTTTACATGAGGTCAATTTCAGATTTTGGTTTAGTAGTTTTTTTCTCAGGAGTCCCATTAATGAGTAAAGGGGCTGGCATTCAAACTCAGGCCTACACAGCTTGAAGGATTAGCCTTTCTACTTGACCTTGTTTCCTGTAATATATAAGGAAAACTAAATGGCACTTTGATTATGTAATTATTTTGGACAGTGGCAGCACCCAAATATCAATACGGAAGTAACATTGGGGTTTCAGCAGGCTGGAAAGGGACTTGTCTTGAAGTTAGATGTGCACAATAAGAGGACTGCTTTTATTTTGAGACTTTATTGATTGGATGGGCTTCTGAGGATTGATTAAGATTATTGGGGATCTAAAGTCTGGTAAGTCATTTGTTTCTTGGCAGCACCACTGGAAACGAAAGCCTGCGTCTGAAATGTCTCTGTGGTTTATTTATCCTGATCCTGGAAATCGCCTTTCTGAACATTGCTGCCTCTCTTTTGGGGAAAAGACTTTTGCTGGATTGACTTGAGCAGGAAGAGAGGGGAAGGAAGCAAATGCTTATAGAGTGACCATGCGGTGCTGGGTGCTGTGATGAGGTCTTTCTTATCTTTTAGGAATAAGCATTTTGATTTAAACTGCTAATTACAATCAATGTAGTCAATGAAAGATGACATGTACTTGTCCTTTAGAAGCTTCCAGAGTCCATGTCGGGAATCAGAATTATTTTGCCCAAGAGCCCTGGCTGTAGTAGTAACTGTTAAAATAATGTGTATCCCGGTGAGACTAATGCCACCAGAATGGTACTCCCATGCATGTTCTCCTCCTTCTGCCCCTGTCTAGACTTTATGTCCCACTTTCACTAAACAAAAACAGAAACAAAAGACAATAGCACATTTACTATTTTGGCACAAATCCACTATGACACAAAGCCTGTTATTCTCCTAAATTGGTGACAGTATTTTTTCTGGCCTTGCACAAGAACAGATAATGGAGGGACTGTAGAACTTATAATAGTATCCCAGCTAGAGAATTCTTTCAGTTGAAGGGTTTTTGTTGTTGTTATTGTGTTAATATTCTTCCCCTGAAGGTCTAACGATGTTTTGAAACCCGTAGTATTTCCTGTGAAACAAGCAAATGCCACTACTGATCTGAATGTCGATTTATGTGAGGCTGTCTTCTTGTATTAATTTGCTCTGTTCACGTGGACACGTAAACACTTAGCCCAGTAAAAAGAGCAATGCCATCTCCTGATTCGTAGGTATTAAGAGTGAGGTGTCATAACGCGGTCACTCATGTGCTACTTTCTGTGATTACTTTGGGAGTGTAGGAGTTTCCAGGACTTTGAGATGAGGCTGACTTCCATTCATGATTCAGCCTGTTCGAGCAGCCTCCAGGGAACCCCATGACCTTGGGGACACATGCATGGGCCAGCAGAACATGTTGCTTCGCCTCCCCGCTGGCTGCTCTGCTTTTGTCTGGCATGGAGATTTCATGGCATCTGCAGTGCCTTATAGAACTGGAAGTGCCCGCGCAGTATTTGGTGGGAATAACTGATCCTCATTAAGCTCAGCCTCGTCATCTTATTCCTGTGTAACAGTGTTGGTAACTTACACTTGTTTGCATTCCAGAAATCAATCCCAAATTCCTTTCTAACACTGAACCAAATGTGTGCTTTCCAGCACTTTATTCACAGGCGATATTGAAAGCTTTGTCTTAGGACAAAGAAAGTGTTTTTGAAAAGGATTATCAAGTGATTTTTTTTTTCCTTGATTGAAAAGCACCTGGATAACTTGAAGAAGGGAAGATTTTAAAAATGGGGATTGTGGATTATGTAAGCTTAGCTTTATGATCCAAACTGACTCAGAAATTGTGCACTTTGCCAGGTCAAGGCAGATGTGGCTGGACCACAGGCCACATTCTGAGTTGCAAGGAGTTAGAGCACAGAGCAGATTCAGCTAGTGGTTTTGAGGATGTAAATGTTCTGAAAACTCTTAGATTTAATTGACTTGCTTATCAATAGCATGTCTCATGGATTTCTCTTTCTGGTACCAAATTAAAAATGAAAGGCATATCCAGCAAGTGTTGTATCATCTATGTTTCACCTGAAAGCTCTTATCTGAGGAAGGTATATTCGAGAATGGTCACCAAATATGTGTGCTACATGAAGTTAAAAACTAGAGATCAACCATTTTTCTCCTAAATGTATAGGGAATAACTCTCTCTGATCTTCTGTTGTGGCATACATTGTCCACTGTGGATGCAGCTTAGTTTTTACGAATAGTATAATATGTTTCTTTAAAGAGTTAACAATTACTAATTGATGAACAGGGTTACTGTGTGTGTTCCAATATTTTATTACAGTCCCTAACTAGGTAATTTATTTGGAAGGAAAGAAGTCACTGGCAAATGCTTAATCTGAAAAGGAGTGTGGTTGCTGGGATGGTTATTTTACAAAGAAAAAGGCAAATGTCCTAATGTCCTATGCGGGCAGAGTGTCCATGGTATGTTTGCACTATAGAGAATACATCAGAAAATTCTTAGATAATGAAAATCCTACTGCTCGTGTGTCTCAGGCCTAAATCAGCTTTCTCCACTTCAGAGACCTGACAATAACAATACCGAATATACATATAGGATAGCAATAAGTCATATTATCGCATTTTACGGAAATAG